ACTCTTTCCGAAGTTTGTTGAGCACGACCTTCGGAGAGGCAGCGGTAACAGGAGGATCATCGGCCTCTTGAAATGAGGCGGTCAATGGATCGGTGGTAAGGATTGTAGGGATTATGTCCTCTACATGGTCGTCCTGGCCGGGGCCAGGGCCGGCACCTGGTGTCTGACCATCTATTTCCATAGCGGACGAGTATCCCCATAGACGGCGCCAAATGTTTCGGGTGTTTTTTTGGATTTCCTCGGATACTGGTCACGCTCTTCTGGCAACGAGACTGGGATACCTGCAAAAATGAACGAATATTCCTTTACCGGAATATTCGCCTCCGACGATCAAGTTAGAGATCTGAAACGGAAAAGGCTAGAGAGAGAAAGTAGAGAGAAGTTGGAGATATTTAATGCTCTTGCTTGTAATGTCGTAATTCACCCCTCCCATCCTAAATGATTGGGGTATTTATAGGGGTGGGAGTTTGTGCCCCTTTAGGGTTTGTACCCTAATATTCTGTGACGTGATTGGCTGCGCAATCACGCGATGCCACGTGTAATATGGGGGCGCCGTTTTGCGGCTTTCATGAATATCTCTCGGAATTTGGGCCATGATGTATTAAGGCCTTTTTAATGCTGATTTCAAGGGCTCTATATGCCTTGGACACGCGGCATCTTCCCATAGTGACACGTGTCACCCTTCGATTGGGTCACGTGTCGCTACGGGATTGATCCACGTACATGAAATATTTTTACCCCAAATAGGAGTGACTTTTTTTTAAAAAAGAAATTATTTTTAAAATTATTTAAATGCAAAAAAAAAAAGACAAAACCTAACTATGGTTAAATCTTTAGTTAAAATTAGTCATTGATGTTATAATTAGCTTAATATATAAAATTCGAGTTTACCAATGATAATAAGTTTTTTTGCAATTCACCACTGAAAATTTTAAAAACTACAGGTTTACCAAAGAGAATTTCCCTAATTTTTATAATAAAAGTGCATTACTTTTATACCAAATGTGTGTATTTTATAAATAAAATGTGCATCCTACTCTTCTGTCAATAACATAACACTTTTGTTCAAAGATTCAATAAGGTAAGAATTAAATATAAATAAATAGTTAATAAGCCACATAAGGAGTTATTTCTCATCCTAAAACATGAACATGAACATCGTATGATTTATATTCTTCATATCTTATGCTTGCTTGATTTTATTCATGTCTTAAGTCACTCTTGTCTCCATAAAAATGATTATAAGCCGATAATTATCAAACCTGCATACATAAAAATATATATATTGAGAATTTACATTAGTTTTTACACAAAAACCCCAAAAATAACATATGAGAATTGAGAGTAAGAAACGTTTACCATGGTTAATATACTTTTTTGTTTGGACAGTTACGACTATCATGATAATCATAAGCCCCACACGCTTTACAGTTCCGTTTGGTTTTCTCACTCTGCTAAATCATCTTCTCATTTTCTCCTACTATTCTATGCCTCTTGCCTTTGTTCTTTGATTGTATAGGATTTTGTATGTTGAGAGTAGAAGATGCACTAGGGCCAACAAAAAGCTCCATCTCCTGAGTTTTTGTCATTTGAATACTTGTACCTCTTTCTACCAAATTCTTACTAAACTCTCTAAGAGTATTGAGAAGAAGTTGCAAATCTTCCTCATTTCACTCTGCAAGGCCTACACTATTAAAAATTTCTGACCACAACTCCCCTAACATCTTACTTACCATGTTCATCTTTCTACAATCTTCAAGGAGGTTACCATTCATATAAAAAAATGGCCTTTTAGTTGCCTCTTTTGTCCAACGATCAGCAATGTAGTACTCTGGAATCTTTCTAATTTGTCTTGCACTTAAAATACAAATTGCATGTTTGCATAAAATTCCCAATCTCTCAAACAACTTGCAAGAACATGATGTCATTAGATTTACAGAATTATATATTACTTCATGAGTCTTCTGCCAAGCCGAGTCCACGACACTTACTGTTTCTATATGCTCTTCCTTTCTTATATTAACTATTCCGCATCTAAAATAAGCTTTATACACCTCATCCTAGAACATATAGAACATAGTACGGGTATAAACTTCAGATGCATGTTTCTCTATAGGTAGGGAATTTGAAACTGAGGAGCAGAGTGAACTAAGTCTGTATTCATCTTATCTTGCTTGTGTCTTTGTGCGTCCATTGCACTTTCAAAACGCATATAAAACTCAACAAGTGTCAAATGTGGATTGGTGAAATTGTTGAAAAACTATTCTCACTTTTAGATCTGGATGTTGTCCTTAAAATGCTCCATAACCTGAGATCTTTAAAGTAGCTAGGTATCCAATGTTGCCTGATTGAATATATTTGTTTGAACCACTTATTCTGTTGAAGTTTATATTTAATCATTATAGAGTTCCACGTGGCTTCAAACTCTTATGGTTCCTGCTCCGTGTCGCATACACAAGCACTCAATGATTTAAGGAAGTCTTCATCTTGTTTGAGCTCAAGGCTTATTTTTTCAGGCACTTTTTTCATTATGTGCCACATACAAAGTCGGTGACGAGTGGTGAGAAACACATCATTTATTGCAGCTTTCATTGCGGGGTCTTGATCTGTTATCAAATATTTTGGCTCACAATTCCCCATAGCATTGAGAAATGTCCTAAATAACCATTCAAATGATTTTGTATCTTCTTTTGCAAGTAAGCCAACCCCAAAGGTAATGCAAGACTTGTGGTGATCAACTCCCGTAAAAGGCACCAAAACCATTGAATATTTGTTGGAGTCATAAGTACAATCAAAAGAAAGCATGTCGCCAAACAATGCATAGTTCTTACGACATATTGCATCTGCCCAAAACAAGTGACATATGTGATCTTCTTCATCAAGAGCATAGTCAAAGTAAAATCCATCAAACACTTCACTTTTCGTATAAAATTTTCAATTAACATCTTCCCATCATCACCTTTGATGTGTTCTTTCAAATCCCTATGAAAGTTTCTGAAGTCTTGCATCGTGGCACCAACATTATTATAATTTCCTACATTTTCTTTGAATAATCTAAAGGATTTCACAGACCCGATGTTCACTCTTGAGTTTCTAGAAACAAAATCCTTATGAACTATAGTCATTTTTCTTGAATTCCTTAAATACTTTCTTGATGTAGGAGTGGCAAGACAATGGTTATGGCCTTCATGAAATTTGACCACTATGTATGTTCCATCTATAGGGTTGTTTTTCCATACTATTCTAGCTTTGCAACCAATTCACTTAGTACTTCTTCTGCGAAGTTGTTTCCCATCAATACTTATTTGACTCTTAGGTATTAAGATACCCTCTCTACTGCAAAGACAATACTTTAGGCCAATATATCCTTTCACATTTTTGTATGAAGTAGATAAACGTGTGTCAAATCCACATACTTTAGCTTAATTTTCATAAATTCTACTGCTTTTCCTAAATTTTCAAATATCATCCCTTCGCAAGGCTTTATATCATCTTCACAATGAGGATACCACTCCTTAGTTCCACATGGAGTTACCTTTGTTTTAGTTCTAAGACTACCAATGTATTGGATTATAGGTGGAGTTTGCACTACAGGACCTGAGACCAATATAATGCAATGAGATTGTATATATGTATATGATATAATCACTATTATCATATACGATTATGTATAGTTGAATCAAATATGCATACACTTACATATATACATGCATTTTTTATAACTAAATATGCATAATTTAACTTCTAAACATTCATAATATTTACTGCCTTATTCAATTACCTAAGAGACCCTCATATTCTTCTCCCTTATCAGCTGTTTACATACAATAAGCTAAACTGCTAAACGTGTCTAAGTATTTTTTTTATTTGAAAAATGCAAATATGTTCAAGATGGAAATGAAATAAACCTTAGAATAATTGTGCATATTTTCTAACCTAAATATACATTTATTTTAAGCTATATGTGCATAATTTTGATACTCTTACTCTCCCCTGCATCATGTGTTTTCTTACTGCTACAAATATTCAAATTGCATCGAATAAATCAAACCTCAATTTATTGTGCATATTTTCAATATGCATATATTTTAACTGAATGTGCATTTTTTAGAGCTGGATATGCAAATTTTTAGCAGCATGAATAGATTACATTACATATATGATATACCAATCAAATTCTAAAGCAGAAAACCAACGCATTAAACAAAGTCATAGATCATTACCAACAAAACAAACCCAATAAAAATTTCTATTGCATAAATTTATGATTTTCTACTCAATAATTTTACAATTACTTCAATAGAAAAATTGACCTAGATAGGAAATCAATTACCAAATTTGATGCTAGTAAAAAAAAATTAACATTGTAAAATCGTATTTAGGTTACAATTTATCCGGAAAAACCAACCAACTACTAAAAAAAAAAACAGTATTGGAGTAATACCTTCTTGTTGTGGTGCTATTGACGACATTAATTTGAGAATTTCTTCCGAGTAGAACTTTCTCCGGATTAGAATAGGAACCACGATTAAAATCAATCAACAATAAAATTAGGGTTCTAGATGAATCATGCAACTAATATAAAAATCTTTGAAAAGAAATAGGAAATTTGAGGAGTGAGGAGTGAGAAATAGAAAAGTCATGGAGCTGGTAGCAAATTACGACGAATTAGAAAATAGGAAAGTTGGGCTTTACTGTTTGGCCAATGTTTAGAATTAGTTGGGCCTGTTTAGTCCGTTGGATTAAATAATTACACAGTTGAGATTCCTTATCATCTTTTTCATTTTAAGAGCCTTCTCATTGGATCCAAAACATATATGTATGTTTTGTTTTATGGCTTCTTTTAATTGGGTTTGTGGGTTTATGGGCAAGTGTTGTACCTAAAATAGCTGCACAAGGGTGCATCTTAGGCCAATTGGGTGCAGCTTTACAAGGTTTAACTCATCTCCGGATTGTGCACGGCTCCAGAGTCCAGCCCACAATAACTCTGGACTAGGTTGCTAAACATTGAAACAACTCTTTCTCCGTATTTTTATTTTCTCGGGGTTTTTTCATTTCTTTTCGTTTTCGCACTCTTCCAGAACTCTCTCTTCATACAACCGCCCTTGAACTAGAAAAATCAAAAACACTCCTCGAAGAATAACTTCCTTAACTCAGCAAAAATGGCGACTGTTATGCAGAAAATCAAAGATATCGAAGATGAGGTAATCCAATCTATATCTGTTTTTCTGCGACTCTTTTACTTTTTTTTTTTTAATTTAATTTTCTTTGGTAGTTAATTTGTTATAATTTTATTGCTATTTGAAATTTATTTGGTGGTTAATTTTGCTTTAATTTTAGTTGTCCAGTTAATTGAGATGGTTCCTATGCAATTAAATTTAGTTTTTTGGTATTGAATCTGTTATAATTTTATTTCAATTTGAAGTTTATTTGGTGGTTAATTTTGCTCAAATTAAAGTTGTGGAGAAAATTAAATTGATATGAGTTCTGTTTGTTATAATTAGTTTTCTGTATTACTCCCTCCGTTTTTAAATACTTGCTTCATTTCTATTTTTTACACTATTCATTTGTCCTAGACTAATGTTTATGATTTATACATAAGAAAAAATATAGTGGTATTTGTTGGAATCATCTCAACGAATAGGTTATTAATTTTTAATTGTTAGAATTTATACTTATTGATAATTTAAGATATTAGTGATCAAAGATTACCATCGGCATGCGTGTCCAAGAGAAATAGAGCAAGTATTTAAAAACTGAGGGAGTATTTTTTAAGTAATGGTATATTTGATATTTGGATTCGTCGGAGTGACTATATTTATTTCATGCAGATGGCAAGGACCCAGAAGAATAAGGCTACTGCCAATCATCTTGGACTGTTGAAGGTAATTATTGCTTAGTAATTAAGCTTTTCATCGTACGAAATTTAATTTTTTTCTTGTGGCATTGACATTATAGGGATGGGTGTGAATAGTTTTATTAGTTTTGATTAGAGAGATGAACAAATAAGCTTCTCATAGCTATAAGCATTTACTTGAAATGAACAAAGATATTGAGAATAGGTGAGCTAAAGAGTAAGTAGGAAAAATATTTTTTTTTGGCTAATGCATCAAAGATTGCTTTACGAATATCTTAATTTAAAAATCTTTATTGATATGTAATTAGAGATATTATGGTTAAAATTGTGCGTTACAAACGTGCACAATCATAATGATTTTCAATAAACAAAGGGAGTTGTTCTTAATGTCTATTTGCCAAGTATTTTTTTTTAAAAAAAAATAAAATAATTTCTTATTGATATAAAATTATAAATGTTTGGCGATAACCAACTAGAATTGAGGAGTTATGGTCCGTTCTTAATTTTTAATGATATGATCTTATCTGACATGATTATTACAAGAATTAAGTGTTTAGTACCTAAAATAAGGGGAAGAGAATAAAGTCTAAGGCTTAGTTTGATTATGACCAATGGGGAATATTATCTATAGCTAATTGTAATCATCATTATTTGTTTAGTACCTGAAATATGGGGAAGGGAACAAAGTCTAAGGCTTAGTTTGATTGTGATCAACGGGGAATATTATCTATAGCTAATAGTATTTGTTATTATCTAATGTTTATGAACCTTATGTATATGAGGCCATTTTAATTCCTAAAAACTAGTTATGGTAAGCAAAAGTCATATTTAATTAATTCTAATCAATAACATTTAGTATGAATCGATTAAAATTGTATTTTATACAACAATATATATTTCTTTCATTTCTAAAAGCTCTTAACATTTACTCTTAGTATACAAATTATGATAATCGGATATAGAATGTTGATGTGGTGATTGGGTTTATGAATATCGTAAATACAATAAGATAAATGCTAACTAGTTAGGTGTAAAAACAAGTGGAAAAAGTAAGAGGGAGTGAGTGAAAATGTGTAAAATTGTAAATATTGTGGCGAAGAGGGGTAAGTTAGATAAAGGATTTTGCCAAAAGTGATATTAGTAGAAGTGTTTAGAAGAAAAACAGAAAAAGGTATGAACTTTAACAAAGAAGGTAGTATTTGTTAATCACTAAACACCAATTTTTATCATTAATATATCTAACACATATTGATTCAAGTCACTAAACGCTATTACTAAATACTAAATCTACTTAAACTAACTTTTGTGATTTAACTATGATGAAAAATAGTCATTTTATCCATTTAAATTTGTGTAAATGTATGTTTTCATAATACCAACTTTCTACAACTTTACCTATAAATTATTAGAGACATTCGCATTAATCATTAGTTTAATCAATAAAATCTATTCATTTTAGTTGAATTAAGGTGAAGTGAACAAACCCTTAATGATAGATTGTTAAATTTTTTTGTTTTTATGTCAAGATGAGGTGCACTAGCTCCTAATTAAACTCCTCAAGCTTTCTCTGTCTTATATCATTAACTTCTCTCACGTAACTTTTAGAAATTTACATCTGCTTTGGTCGAATGGATGTTACAACCTTTTTGATACCTTTTCAAAATTTAACAAATCCTTAAGTAAAATGCTACTTGAAACTTTGAAAGTACTATATTTTCCTTTATATTAAAGTACTCCCTTTGTCCTTAAATAAAAGTCTTAATCAACCACAAACTTTTGTCCCTAAATTAGTATCTCATTTCTTTTCTTATTCAAACTTTTGTCCCTAAATTTCTTTTCTTGTTCATCTTCCTCTAAATGTGCAAAAGGCAAATAAGACATCTATTTGAAACAGAAGGAGTAGCATTATTGAAACCAATTATTATTTCAAAACCTTGATCCTAAAGAAGTAAAACACCCAATTAAAGAAGGCCTTTTTATTGGCTTATTGGTGTATCAATCAATCAAAGCCTTAATCCCATGAGTGCGGTTGGCTACATGAACCAAAAGTGATTATTCTGTATAGTCATCCACAAAAGATGATGAGTTTAGTTATGATCTAATTATGATGGGAGCCATTTAGCATAAAATGATGAGTTTAGTTATGATCTAAATTTTAGATATTCCATAAGTCTGTATTATATAGAAAATGCCTCGTGAATCTGAAAAGATATAGCTTTGATTTTATGATGGCTTGTGGAATTTGCCAGAAAAGTTGTGAATAGCCATGTTACTGGGGGGGCTGAAGCTGAAATACACTCACATTAATCACACTACCAAAAATTTGTTTTTGGTTTGTTTACCATATTCTCCATTGCTTGTATGAAATCATATTCCCTGCATTCAGTTCCCATTATTTTATTTCTGAAGCATTCAATTCAATGAAAAAAATGGCATATTTGCATAATGAAGTTGAATTTCTTTATTTTAACTTGTATAGTACTTGGTTAAAGTTATATAGTTATCAAAGTTTCTTTTGTGTTGCTGTGTCAATTTTGTGTCTTGTTCAGTTTCCTGTCAAGTATGAGAATATATTTTCTGGTTTGTCTTACTTTTTTTGGTTTGATTGTTTTAAATTGTCAGGCTAAACTTGCTAAGCTACGGAGGGATCTTTTGACACCCACCTCGAAAGGAGGTGGGGGTGCTGGTGAAGGCTTTGACGTAACAAAAAGTGGAGATGCACGAGTTGGGTTGGTTGGCTTTCCATCGGTTGGGAAATCAACATTACTAAATAAGTTGACTGGGACTTTCTCTGAGGTATTGCATCTTTTTCTCTGGTCTCATGTTCACAAGTTGTTGGCAATAAAAGGGCTGGACTGCTGGACTTGTTTCCTTTTGTTCTCTCTCTTTTATTCACTATTATCCTCTCTTGCATTTGCATGTACCCACACCTATTCCCGACTACCATCACACAAGTTTTCTAACTCTAATCTTCTCACTCACATAGCCACAAGTACATAATTCAGAAGGGGGTGGGGCGTGGAGGGGATAAGCTAGCAAATTAAAACAGATTAATTTTATTGAGCAGTAGACAACAGATGAAAGACTAAAGACAGGAGAAGACATTCTTGCTACTGGAAGTTCTCCTAATCCTTTTGTATATGTTGAATAGGTTGCTTCTTATGAGTTTACTACATTGACTTGCATTCCTGGAGTGATAATGTACAGAGGAGCTAAGATTCAGGTATACTTCAGCTATCAATTTATCGCAATATTTTTGATATAATTCTAGGTTCAGTAGCTTTTACTTTGTTGTATCATTATATTCATTATGGTCAAATGGAACATCATTTTTATTGGACAATGTATGTGTACCTATTGTTGTTTTGTAAGACTATACCCTTGTTTTCATTGGAATGTGAGGGTAAAAATGTTATTTTTTGGGGATGTGTCTGGTTTCCTTGAATATAATATATTGAGGTCTCTTATTGCATGATTTTGCTGGTGTGTCAGCTTTGAAAAGTCTGACTTTTAAATAAAATTTTTAAGCTTCTAATGATGCTGTATATGAGGCTACAAAGATCAGTGATAATAGTATGCCCAAGGCTCATGGAATTAAAGAATTGGGAGACCAAGAGAAGCCATCTTTTTGGAAGGGAACCAACGTGAACATGTTTTGATTGTTTTAGCCGTTTAGCCCTACATCCGGAGATAATTATTTCATTTAAAACTTCCACTCTGATTTTGTTAGAAGGATGTCTGAAGTGTCAACTCGATCATCTTACTATAATTTATATGATTTTCTCCCAAATTTATCTTAGTGTCTTATCAATGTCCGATTGAGTATCCAACATGTGTATTTGAGATGATTTGAAGATTCATAGTAGCACAGCTTCCACTCTTATTGCCAATCTGTCATAGGTATTGATGTAAGAAAACTGTAATAGCATGTCATTGTAAATCTTTTTATTTTCTGACATAAACTTGTGTACCATAAGCTTTTTTTTGGGTTTTTTTTTCTTTTTTATTTTTTATTTTTTTGGGGGGGGGGGGGGTGGGGGTGGAGGGAAGAGGTTTAACAGTCTACTAATTGTTTGAATAAATTTAGGTCTCAGTAACTTGCCTAGCATATGTTGACCCAAGTTGAGCATTCTTCAATGCGTGTAGTGATCATCCACTTGCCTTTATTTGTTCTATATGTTGGGGTATCTTAATTCAAGCTATGTTAACCAAATATGTTTTTGTGACTTGAACCTAGAAATCAAGACAAGAGAATAGGCGGCTCATGTATGAGGATGTGCTCTGATTTTATTAGATTTGTCCATGTTGATATTTAGCTTCATTGCTTGTTTTATCCTCAATTTTGCCTTGATAGTGGAGTTGGATGGTGCATGGTCCTTTTTGTATTATCAATGAAGTGTTTGGAATATCGTCTGTTATACCTTTTAATTTAGGCCATCTACAACGCTTGTAACCTTGACTACTTGTCCATTTTAGAGCTGTGCTGTGATGCTCTTACACTTGCTATTAGTGATGGGACATCTCACTTTGTTAATTTGTTTGGCAGCTGTTGGACCTACCAGGTATCATTGAGGGTGCCAAGGATGGAAAAGGTAGAGGAAGGCAGGTAATAACTTATGGCTTGCTATTCATGTCTTTATTTGGTTGCTTTCGTTGTATATGAGTTCGCTGGATGTTATTCACTGTTCTTTGAACAATTCATTTTTCTTCCTTGCAAGCAAGATAGATCAGCTTAGTGTTTTTATAAAATTATATGAATTTCTTTAATGTTATCAATATTCAGCAACAATAGTTGAAATAATTTTACTGATTGTTGAATTAAATAGTAATTAAAAAAAAAAATGTATTGTATAGTTTATTCTTATTTATCATTGTATGTTGGATTTGATTGGTGGACCATAAGATTGTAGAATCGTATTGAAATCCTACCACCCTTAACCTTTTACCCAAATATTTAAATGTTAAGAGATTTAAATCAGTGACATCGAGAGTATAATGATCAGGTAGCAAGTCATTTGTAGAAATGAACCATGGATCTGTCATTCCAAATTGTTAATCACAATGAATGCTGTTTCTTATAGAGTGAATCAGCTAATTCTATGCTGAACAGTTTCTGGTCAAATATTCCGTGAACTTAGCTAGAACTGTCAGAATGAAACTTTCAAATCCTGGGAGATTTGAAAAATATGCATGCATTCATCTTCATGCTGTGTTTCCCAAGGTTCCCAACCCATTTTGTATAATTTATCTTAAAAACAGTATGAAGAATCTGTGTAAGATAACCTAGATAATGGAAGAATCGTTTATTTGTAGAAACTCTGCTCATTTGAATTGATGTGAAATTTTAAATTCCGCTGCTGCTGCTCAACTGTTTAGTGTTTACTTATTTTCAGATTTTTGTTGGTATATATGATGTATCTTGTTTTTGATGTGGCAAGCCATTTTTGAGTAAATGAGTCCACTGAGTTTATAATCTTTCCTGGTACAGTTAATGTGCTGTCTTGTAGCATATTAAAGCTTTAGAACTTAATGACATTTGAACTCTGTTTCATGACCTAAACCCAGTCCTGGTTTTGCATTCTATGACCTCTCATATTCCACTTCTTAGCTAGGTCTAAGCAAACCAAACAAGTCACTAGGAGCCACCGTTATTTCTGTTGGAGGCTGTTTTCTGAAATTCTAATCTTTAATGAAATACTTACAACTAGAAGTGCATAATCACTTTGTCCCTATTCAAGCTTTCCGTTTTTCCCTAACGGTTTGTTTACATAGAAAAGTGGAAGGAAAGGGAAGGGAGGGAAGAAGGAAATGGACGGAGAAGAAAACGTTACATGTTGCTCGCCAATCTTTCCAACATTGGAAGGATTTAATTCATTAAGAGGGAGAAAAAATGAATCCTTACCTTTCCCTTCCCTTCCCTTCGCTTCCCTTCCCTTTCTTTCTTTCTTTCCTAATGAATGGTATTCAAACAAGGAAGGATGGATCCCTTCTTTTCTCTTCTTTTCCTTTCCCTCCAACTTTCTCAATCCAAACAAAGTGTAAATGTTTGTTCCAATGAACTTTCTAATTTTTTTGTGCTTCCCTTGGGGCTACTAGCAATAGAAGTTCTTTCTTCTACTTAAAAATTATAGTCTCCATTTCTCAGCCGTAATAATTTAACAATGCCATTTATCTATGTTTTTCCACTCTTATTTATTAAGACTAACGAATCCTTCCGTTTCCCTCCTAACGAAAGATACCAAACAAGGAAGGATGGATCCCTTATTTTCTTGTCTCTTCCTTTCCCTTCAATTTTCATAATCTAAACAGGTGTAAATATTTGTCTCAAACACACTTTCTGTTTTTCTCTACTTCCTTTGGGGCTACTAGCTATAGAAGTTCTTTCTTCCACTAAAAAATTATTGTCTCCAATTCTCTCCCATTATAAAAAATTGTACAATGCCATTTATCTATGTTTTTCCATTCTTACATTCATATTAAGAGTAGGCATTTAGAGAAATGACTATAACCCCACAATCAACCAAATTTTATTGAACTTGAAAGAGTTAAATGCAATGGTTCCTATTTCAGCAAGAATATTATAAGAGCAACTCTAATGGTTGCCAATAGGTAGTTATTTGCAAGTCTTTAAAAGACTAAGCTAGTAGCTATACTATTGTTGCATATGCTAATCTGGCAAATATTAGCAAACACAAATAATTTTTATTTACTAAAGTTAAATTAGGTTGTGGCTTACCATTGGGTGGGTAATGAGTCTGGAAGGGTTGTAGCTTTATCGTGAGAGTTGCCGAAGGCATTATATACATGTGATCAAGGTTAGAAATTTGCAATTATGCATGGAACAAACCATTTTTTTAGCAGAATAGTTTGTTAGGAAGAGATCTCTATTCTTTGTGGTTATTAGCCAAACAACTACTTTTACGTCATGTTACTCAATTTGGGTACCCATGTATGTGTAAAAGTGTCCAACTTGGTCATTTTGTAAAAACAAAATTCATGATGTTGTCCTAAAATGAAAATGAAGTGTCAAAGTGCCTTACGCTCTACTTATGTTCGGCTCGGCTTTTAAGGTGAAATGAAGGCCCTGTTCTTTAGAGCTGCTCTGCTGTGCTGAGCCTGCTCTGCTCAAATTAAAGCTCTGCTATGCTCTGCTCTATTTTCAAATAATAATTAATAATAACAATATTAATAATTAGTGTTCAATAATAATAATTAATATTGTATTGATGATGATAATTTATTATTCTGAATAATTATAATAATTATTAATATTAAAAATAATTTTTATAATTATGAATATTAATAATAATTAATATTTATTAATCATAATAATTATTAATGATAATAATTATCAATAATAATATTTAATAATTCAAACTATTAAGAATTAATATTTAATAATATTATTTATTAATAATTTCTAATAATTATAACAATTCTTTCAAATTAAATAAATAATAATAATAATTAATAACAATTTCTTTTATAAATATTTGATATTAGAATCACAATGTGTAGAAACATTTTATATGGGCATTGATGGTTAGTTCATTGAGTTGAATTATTTTTCAAATCTTTCCATACAATTTAGGGAATTAAAAAAAAGAGGTTGTTTTCAAGTAGTACTTTGTATATCATTATTATTTTTAGTGTTAAAAATATATGATTAAGACAAATTTATAAGTAAAATCATTATTACTCATTAAATCATTCTATTTTAAAATTTTTGTGAAATAAATATAAGTAAACCATTGTCTTTTTTTTTCTACTATTAACTTATGTTAAATATGGTACACATATATTTATGTTTTCACTCACCTAAATCAATGGATAATAATGATAATGATAATGATAATGATAATAATAATAATCGGCTCGGCTGAAATCTGCTCTGCTGTGCTGAAATTTGATCTGCTCTGATGACCCCTGCTTTGCTCTGCTATAAGCTCAAAAAAACAGGGCCTAAGAGTTCAATCAACTTAGCTGTCACTTCCTAGTGCTTGTTTGTGACAAGAATTGAATGAGAATAACAATATTAATTAGAGTATAACAATAAAATAGGGGAAAGGTTAAAGATTTCATTGATAATGGCCAAAAGGTTAACAAGATAACTTGAGGCTATCACTCGCTAGGGGTAAATGCAGGTTACCAATCTCCTTACAATTGTTTTAATACTCAACATGACTAAGAGTCTACGATGCTAAACCATCTTCTTTATGTATACAAACTGTCACTTAAAAGTACTATAATATAATCTTCTTTATGTATACAAACTGTCACTTAAAAGTACTATAATATTTGTCTTTAGTTGCTCACCCTGTTGGCTGTTGCGCCCTCCTTTGTGTTTCATGCCTTTGTCTGTAGCTGTAGCTGGTCCCACTCTGATGTTGCATAATCTTCTGCCTCCTTTTGTATACTTGGAGTGGTGGTTGTACAATGTGGATTCATCACATCACATCCCCCCAAATGAACCACCTTGTCCTCAAGGTGGAAAGATGGAAACGACAAGTTCAGATTATCAAAGACTTCTCAAGTTGCTCAAAACTTGGAAGACCTTTCCATTTGATCAAAGAAACTCCCCCTTTCACCCTTTGCCTGACTTCCAAAACATCCTCAGGTTTTGCAACCAATTCTAGATCAGTAGTAAACTAATAGGGTTCACTAGTATAGTAGGGTTGACGAGAACACTCCCTACTGCTTTCTTCAATTGAGAGATATGAAACACAGGGTGCACCTTGCAACTCAATGGCTATTCCAATCATGGTATAAAAACAAGGCCTTGACGTCTTAGTTGGGCCGTTTTGTAAAGGAAATTAAATTGACCGAACCGAGATTGTCCGCATCAACAAGGGGTATTAAATAACGCCGCAATTTTGTTCGAATCAAACATTTCAACCCTAAATCACCCCGCATTGAAAGTTACATCTATTATTTCGCACAAAAGTTACTTTCTATTCAAATATATAGTGAAAGATTCCCCCATATCTCCCCTAATGGCTCAAATTTTTTTACTATGCCCCCATATCACCTCACTAATGGCTCTAATACTCTACTATCTTGAAATCAAATTTGCATCGAGACAACCGTGACATGGTCCGCGATCAACGCATCATAAGCATTCCCGCGACACCGCAACCGTTCCCGTGATTGTAACCGAAACCGCATTTTTGAACCATAATTCCAATCGATGTGATACCTTACCAATGCATTGGAGTATTTTAAATGGACCATAGAATTGTGCAGCTAGCTTTTAATAGGGTCTGCCAGCCAATGAACGTTGCCTATAAGGCTGCAAATCAGAAAAACCTCCCCACCCACTTCAAATTGTGCCTCTTTACGTTATGGATCAGCATACTTCCGCATTACTAGCTGTGCTCGATTCAAATTTAAACACAACTCATTCAGTATTAAATCCCTTTCTTTCCATTGCTCCTCTAAGCTTCCACTGCCATTTGGTTATTCCCCAACCTCCAAATTTCGGGGGATCCCTCCCATACAACACTTTAAATGGGATCATTTTTGTGGCCACGTGAGGTATAGGAGTACTTGGCCCACGACAACAATTGTGCCCAATTCCTTGGCTGAATAGCTACAAAACAACAAAGATACATTTCTAGGCCCTTGTTTACAATTCTGTTTGCCATTCGTTTGAAGATGGTATGAGGTGGAATGGTTCCTTCCAAAATTTAATCATAAATATCTTATCACGATTGGATACAATTAAAGCCATGTAACTTTGACTACATACTTCCGAAAGAAATCATCCTTTGAGATGTCAATAACCCGTGGGATCGGTAATGGTTGGAAAAACCTAAAAGGTTTTTGTTGAGACACCTTGTTATGTTGACATACATCACAAGTTGCACACATTCCCCAATTTCCTTGTGCATACCGAGCCAAAACTAATCCGTAGCCATTCAAAGATAAGTTTTCACCTCCCCCTCGGGACCACCCATCGGGAGTCATGCTATTCCTTTAGAAGCTTGGGAATGAACTGTGATTTTGGTGGTAGCACTTTCCTTCCCTTAAAACCATTTGGTTCCCCTTTCTCCTCCTTTAGTTGTTGTTTGACCTCCCCCATCCACTTGTCCTCCTTGATTTCCCTATCCAACTCGGCCAATCCACAACCGTGGTACAAGACATCGACCCAAATTGCACTCCTAGCCCACCTTTTCTTGACGTAGCATCAACCACTCGGTTCGAGACCTTACATTTATATTAGATTTCATAATCGAAATTTATCAATTTACGCATCCATTTGTGATACTCTTCACCCACTTTGCTGTTGCGTCAAGTAACGAAGACTTTGTTGGTAAGTCCGTATAATGAAGTGTTGGTCCATGATAAGATAAATGTTTCCATTTCATCAGTGCCAATCATATGGTCATTAACTCTTTTTCATTCACCAGTTTAGCCAGGATTTTTACCCCCAACAACTTGCTGAAATAGGCTGGGATGACCTTGCTACATCATTATGGCACCAAGCCCATAGCCCAAAGTGTCTGTTTCTAGTTTCTAAGACAAATTCCCGCTTAAAATTCACCATAGCTAATACCGAGCTGTTATCATGGCCCTCTTTGAGCCACTTCGCTTTACCGTCCAAAATTGTCCTTTTTCAATTTTGAAGTTAACAAACTAGCAATTTGAGCATACTTCGCCACATATTTGCGGTAGCACCCCATGAGGCCAAGCTCTTAGATTTTTTGGCTCCTACTCCAAAATTGATTTTTATCTTATCATTATCATTCAATGTAATTGATTTTATCTTATATGACGTGATGAACTCACATTTTGTTGTACAACCACCACTCCAACTATATAGAAGGAAGGGGAAGATTATGAAACATAAAAGTAGGGACCAAGTACAAGCAAACGAAGGCATTCAATGAAACACTAGGGAGGGTGCAACAAGGTAACCCAACTTTGATGATGTTGCATAATCTTCTCCTTTTGTATACTCGGAGTGGTTGTTGTACGGCAGACTGTGGGTTCACCACAATTTGGTAAACCAAAAAAGTGGGGAAAGTTGGAATTCATGGGAATTGCAATTTCGGGTAGTTGTTTGGTTAGCACTATAAATTAGAAAAGGAGGAAAAGCTTCCTAGAAAATTTTTACTTCTAATAAAACATTGAAATATAAGCACAAAACTTGTTTATGAGACATTCATTGGAATTAGAACTTTGTTTTTAGTGCTAGCAAAATTGCACAGGGGAAGTAACTTCCCATGAAATGTGAATTTCCAAAGGAATTTAATACCCATGTGAATCAAAAAAGTATTCTGTATTTTGGTTAGTTGCGTTGGGAATTAATTGCTATTGTAATTTGTGTTTCATAGGAAGTAAGTTCCTTCATATATCTCCCATGAATTTGCTAAAGTTGTTTAAGGGAATTTTCGTTGTGTGAATTGTCAATGACATAGGGGGTAAGTAGTAAACTTTTCATGATGTGGGATCTCAATATTCCTAGGAAGTTGTAATTCCTTCATTGCCTATGTCATCAAACGAGTGACCTAAGCATTTCCTTGGAATTTCCATTGTTTATGTTAAAAAAAGTGTAACAAAAAAACACATAATTGATAGAACTACATGGAAGTATTTCTTTCTATGTTTTTACCAAAGTCATTGTGATACATTTCTAGTAACTGGCTCAATTTTATGATTTTTATGAACACTGTTATTTTGACCTAATACACCCCTGCTTATTGTTACCCAAGATGCTAAGGCTTTTGAACAGGGGATCAGTCCTATCAATAAAAAAAGTAAAAGTAGACCAAGTGCCAAAAAAGTTGTGTCCTTTACCTCATTTGTAGTGATAGTTGCAACCTATTCCCCTTAAGACTAGCTCTTCTTTATCTCCCTTTTGTGTGTGTGTGTGTGTGTGTGTGTGTGTGTGAGTCAGTCTGTCAGTCTGTTATATTTGAAGGATTATGCAATACCGATTTACAGCCATATTTTATCAAAGCAGACACGAGAAGACTTGAATAAACTTCTGTTTTTTTTTTCCTTAAACTGTGCACCTCCCCCCCCCCCCCACTCTTTTTCTCCATCCTTACATTGCGATTAAAAAAGAATGGAGGAAGAACATTTTATTAGAAAGACTGTCTTAACATTCATAGCTGCTTGATCTGCTTCCTTAGTTTAAAACCTTTTGCACCTTCACTGAGTTTAAGTAAGCAATTTATGTGCTTTCCAGGTCATCAGTACTGCAAGGACGTGCAATTGCATATTAATTGTTCTTGATGCAATAAAGCCAATAACTCACAAGCGTCTTATAGAAAAGGAGCTTGAAGGCTTTGGCATTAGGTAATGTAAAATCTTCCATACTCTACTCTTCTCATGCATTGTAATTTACTCTTAATTTTATGTGGCATATGAAGATTAAGAACTCCATTTTTGCCTGCTCGTAGACCTTGTCAGTGTCATGGTCTCATGGTTTTAAATCTACTAGGCATTTTGTGAAAAGACGTGTGGTTGTAGTGCCTCCTATCTTCACTTCACACTTCAGTAATGATAAAACCCGAAGCATTTTAGGGCGCCTCATGGTTTTTATAGCTAATTTTATTGTCTATTGATTTGACTGTGTCTGTAATTTTATTTTATTTTATTTTTATTTTTCATTTCTATCATGGTAACTGACCATTTGGTTTTCTGTATTGACGGAACTGTGTGTTGTTAGATGTGCATAATTTTGTACTCTTTCCTTTTGTATGTCCCTGCCTTACTCTTGTGTCTTTCTGGGAGCAGGTTGAACAAGGAACCCCCCAATTTAAGTTTCCGAAAGAAAGAAAAGGGTGGTATTAATTTGACCTCAACAGTTGCCAACACACATTTGGATCTAGATACAGTGAAGGCAATATGCAGTGAATATAGGATTCACAATGCTGATATCACTCTTAGATTTGATGCAACTGCAGACGATCTCATTGATGTTATTGAGGGAAGTAGAGTTTATATGCCGTGCATATATGTCATAAACAAAATTGATCAGATCACTCTTGAAGAGTTGGAAATTCTGGATAAACTTCCTCATTACTGCCCAATCAGGTAGGTTTCTCTTGTTATCAATCAGATTTGGTTGTCTTCTATTAGTTCTGTGTGATAAATTTCGTTTTCTTTCATGGCTTCAGAATTAATATCACCTCCTTTATTCCTGGTTTTTATTTATATGTTTATTATATTATTGATTATATTTATATTATTTTTGTTAAGAATCTATTGTTTGGCAATCCCATTATTATAATAAAATTTCGTTGTCTTTCATGGCTTCATCTTTCATGGCTTTGTAATTAAGAATTGCTGAACGAGTTATTTTCTGAATTGTAGAAAGTCTGAGATGTTTTATGCTGTGGTCTTACTAAGAGGTCATTAATTTTTTTTTGGTACTTTGTTTTTAAATTACTTGTATTGTTGCATAAGAATCATTATTAATGCTTCCTCCTCCCCCCCCCCCCCCCTTTGTATCCAAAGTCCAAAAAATCCTTTTGCATTAATATATTGTCCTTTTGTGTTTTTACAATGCCAGCACAACTTCAGTTGATTCTGGAGAAGATTAACAGCCACTTCTTCTTGTTTTGTTGAAATCACTTTGCAGTGCTCATCTAGAATGGAACCTTGATGGTTTGCTGGAGAAGGTCTGGGAGTACCTGAACCTTACTCGTATATACACAAAACCAAAGGGTTTGAATCCAGATTATAATGACCCTGTCATCCTTTCATCTCGGAGGAGAACTGTGGAAGATTTCTGTGAACGAATTCACAAGGATATGGTTAAACAATTCAAGAAGTAAGTAATGTTGTTGATGCCTAAATTTATACTGCATTGTGGAATGTGGATGTTTCTATTGTCCATGGAGAAATAAAACCAATGTGCCTCATTACTCGTGAGTTTATCTCAAACCATATAGAGTGACATTCCATAGGAGCAAGGAAAGGAATATTAGCACGCCTTGCTAAGGCTACTCAGATTTTTTCTGTTGAAGCTTGTCTTTTAACTCTAGCTTGCATGACCCCTTCTGTGAGTATGAGTGTGGATGTTTCATGCACTTGTTCATTTTGAATACTTAATTTCGTCTACGCATAGTTTTAATTGGTGATTATGTCTGTTTTTCCACTAACACAGATCACTTCCCCCAACTAAAATAATTTCAACGACAATCAGTTAAGTGAAAAAGGCTTCCAACAAGTTTCCTGTGAGTATATAGATCATCCAATAGCTCTCCTTAATTTTAAGGCTAGGCTCTTGTTCTAAACCGCTTGCAAAGTTACCAGCTTTTGATAAGAATTCTATTTCATACTTGCATTGGGTTTCAAATCTCTGGGTTCTTAGTGTTTTCTTTAGCTCATTTATCAAACCTTAGTCGTTCAATACTATCGAAAACTCTTTTTGAGTCTTTGCTTAATCTACAATAAGAAAAAGTGTCTTTGCTTGATCTACAATAAGAAAATACTACGTTATTAATTTTCCTTTTCTCTGGCACAGTGCTCTTGTCTGGGGATCTAGTGTGAAGCACAAGCCTCAAAGAGTTGGCAAGGTTAGTCCTGGGATTCTATGCTCTTTTTCTTTCCACTCTTTATGAAAATGATTCTTTATTCTTCTGATCATGCATTTTTTGGTGCTTTCTTGTCAGGAACATGAACTCGAGGATGAAGACGTGGTTCAAATCATCAAAAAGATCTAACTGAGCCTGACATGCATAATTTAAAAGAATTGACAACCAGCATAATTCCGGAGAAATTTTTGTTAGGGAATATTGTGGCAAAAGGTACAAAGGTCATGTTATTGATGCGTACTTCAGTTCTTTTCTGTGATGGAGGATTTGGCTAGCTTGTACGTTGTGTTTTCTACAGACAAAGCAGAGTGTTTCAGAATGAGCATGTTGATAGGAGTGTTGTTAAACCTGATGTTGGTAGCAGATATAATGTCATAGGGGTATGGCTTATGCTACTAGAGTTCATTGAAAATATGATTTTACTATCTTTACGTAGCGTTCCTGGATATTGTATGGGGTGAAATGTTTTATTGTATTTTCAGTGACTGCATAGTCTATTGTATTGTCAAACTGAATGGTATCCGTATCCCAGGTATAGATTGAGGATTGAGAATTTGAGACCGGTGAATAAACTCCAAACATAAGTCAATACAAGTTAGATTGTGCCTACTTAGAATGAATGTGAATAAACTAATACAAGTTAGATTATGACCTACTAAGAAACATGGAACTGTGATTGTTGCTATATTTGAAATCAATGTATAATGTAAATAAAATTCTACTCATAAAAGGAGAGAACCAAGCTCTTGAAGTTTATTTAAGAACCAATATGTTGATTTTTTAAGCATACTAAAATACAATTAGTATTATATAATCTTGGATCACGGTACTCCCTACCCAATATACTTGAGTTATTTTATCTAAGGTCATGTTTGGTAATTGGCTTTTTAATGGCTTTTTGGTTAGCTTTTGGCTATTGGCTTTTTTAGGTGGTCAAACAGTCAAAAAATGTGTTTGGTAATTGGTTTTTTAGTCAGTGAAAAAGCTGGCTTTTAAGCCAAAATGAAAAAGCTGCTTTGAGTAGCTTTTTTGTTGGGTTTTGGCTTGTTGGCCTACAAATTATCTAATAAACAGTCAACAACCAACAATTAATTTACCAAACACTTTTATAAATAGCCAGCTTAAACAGCCAGTTTCAAAAGCCATTATAAAAAGCCAAACATTCCAGCTGGTCAAAGAAGCAAAGTGAACTAGCCAACAGCCAACCGCCAACAACCATTTGCCAAACAAGGCCTAAGTCTTAGGTTATTTTGTTTAAAACCTTGTATTATTTTGCTAAAATAATACTTCCTTCGTCCTCTTTTAATAGTCCCTTTTGGTAGAAAATCACGGGAATTGATAAACGTAAATAAGAAGTAGCAAAAGTACATTGAAAAAGTAAATTTACATTAGGTATGCAAAAAAGTAGAGAGAGAGAGTAATTAAAGTACACGGGAAAGTAAAATTTACATGGAAAAGTTAAATTTGCACAAATATTTTTGCAAATAGGAGAGAATTTTGATAAAAAATAATATTAATGGTTTTTGAAAAAAGCAAACGTGACTAACATTTTGGGTCACTAAAAATAACATAAATGACTATAAAAAAAGGGACGTAGGGAGTATGTTATTTACTTATTTACTTCAATAACATGCATAAAAAAAACATGCATTTATAAAAATAACATGCACTTATATAAAAAATAACATATATGTATTGAAATAATAAGAGGTTCACATAAAAATAACATGAATTTTATAAATCTATAGTATAGCGAAAGGATTAATGTTGAAAAAAAATGGAAATATAAAATAAAATATGCTTTTTAAAAAAATAATATGTATATAAATAAAAATAACATATATTTTATAAACCTAAAGTACCGTGCAAGCCTGGAGTACCATGCACACCGTACTCCAGGATTAGCATAGAATGTGCGACAAAAATATTAAAAAAAAACTTGAGATTGTTTTACATGTACTTTGTAGAAATGTATTTTTGATATCCAGTTGAATTAGAAATAATATTTATTGTCAGTTCCAAGTGTTCTATATAAAAAGATTGAGTATCCGCATTACCCATAGAACCATTCCCGCAAATATTAGCATAAGCAGACTTAGTTGAGAAACACACCATTCCTAGTAAACTTCCAATAGACAAAGTCATCCATCAAACACACCGACTTGTCGAGCGAGAGAATTTTAGCTGCTCTGTCAGAATCCAACATGCCATGCCAATTTTGCCTCGTTGGAAACTTTTTGATTGGAAATAATTACACAGTGGTTTGCCTTTAGCAGCCATTCTTTCTACCAGAGGGCTTCCTATTAATCATACATGTGCTTTTTGTCACTCTTTTGAAGAATATTATCGTTCTCATCTGTTTCGAGATTGCTCTGCTATATATGGTATTTGGAGTTTTAGTGTCCTGGATATTAAATGGGATTGTTGCTCGTAGTATTCTCTATTTTGATACTACTAGAGAGATTTGGATAAACTTGGAAGAACAGTTTGGACAAACTTCTGGTGCAGAGATTTACTCTATACAACAACAATTAGCTAATGTTCATCAAGGTTCTGAGAACAATTCTACTTTCTTTACTAAGATGAAGATGCTTTGGGATGAGTATGATGCTCAGAATCCTTTGCCTGTATGTACTTATGCTAATTGTACATGCCAGATTACTAAGAAAATTCTAAAGGCTCAAGAAGATCTAAGGCTTACATAGTTTTTAATGAAGCTCAGAGAAGAATTCAGTCAAGTCAGGGCTAATATCTTGATGATTTATCCTCTTCCTACAATTTCTCATGCATACAGATTGTTAATGCAAGAAGAAAGATGCAAAGAAGTGTACACTGCTTCTTATCAGCACAAGGGATGTCATTTACAGCAGTAAACAAGAGAAGGTTCTATGAATCTAACAGCCAGAGGAACAAGTTTACTAGAGTTGTGGCTCACAAGGTTTTCAGTCATGGAACCAATCAGAAAGGAGACAATCTAACTATTTCTGTGATCATTGCAAGATCTCAGGACATTCTATTGACAGACATTGGAAGGTCAATGGTTATTCACCTCATTTCAAGGAAAATTGGAAAGGAAAGGGAATTGCGGCAGGAGTACATGGTGATCTTGATGAAGAAGAGTTTCAGAACAACATTGAAGCTGGAAATACTGCAACAATATATGTGGAATAGTATAATCATCTTATTTCTCTTCTGGACAAGAAATATGATGATGAGAAGACTAAAATAGCTGCATTGGTAGCAGGTACTTTCTGTCTCTTATCTTTCAGCACTTCTCAATGGATTATAGATAGTGGTGCAATTAATCATATGAGTCATGATCTTAGTCTTTTTCATGAGTATTCCAGCTTAGATAATTCTGCAAGTAATATAACTATACCAGATGGCAGAAAACTACCAGTTCAGAATAAAGGAACAATTAAGTTTGGTGATACACTTTTGCTGAATGATGTGATGCATGTGCCTGGATTTCATTTTAATTTGATTTCAATTCCTAAATTGTGAAAAGACATGGATTGTGTGGCTTATTTCTCCTGTGATGAATGTTATATTATGGGCCCTACTCTGACCAAGCCGCTTCTGCTTGATAGACTAAGAGATGGTTGGTATTGCTTGGAGAAGTCTTTCTTTCAAGATGTACAAGAGTCAAGTTGTGTTGCAGTTGATAGTTAATCAGATTCTTGCCTAGATTCTCATTCAATTAGTAGTGTCTTGGCATCTAAGATTAGGACATATGCCTATAGTTCATTTGAATAAGATAAAACCAGACTTAGATACTAAAGAATATCTGGTATCTTGAACTTGTTAGGCTTGTCACTTTGCTAGGAAACATAGGTTGTCTTTTGGTCATAATTGTATTAAGACATCTAAGGTGTTTGACCTCATATATTTAGATGTTTGGGGTCCAAATAAAGTGGTCACTCATAATGGTTGTAATATTTTTTTTTACTATAGTGGATGACCTCCCACCACATACTTCGCACCACCTTCCCTGTTTACCCGTGGAAACAACCATTGACTAGCATGGTCTTTCCAAGTTGTTGCAATTGTCATGATTACTTGTTGATCCCAATTCCCTAGTGTTTTATTTATTTAAGTCTTTGTTTCCTAGTTCATTAGTCTTTTTTACTCTACTCTTCACCCTTGACTTCGACCTATCTTAGGCGCACAATTGAAAGCACTTGAAAGAACCGTTCCTAGTGGTTCAATTCTTGACTTACCACTATACTTGTGTTTAGATTTGTTAAGTGATTATAAATTTTCTTTGGCTTAGGGAGGATTAGTCAACAATCTAGTTTTCCCCCTGTCACTTATGTTTTTATATGGAATAATGTTGGTTGCTTGGGTGATGTGGCATGTGGCATTGTTTGAGTAATGATGTGGCATCATAAGATGTTGGGAAGATGACATGGCACAACCAAAAAAAGAACTACATGGCATATCCACGTTTTTAGGAACGCCATTTAATATATTAGTTATAGATAGGCTTTGGGGTGATGCCAAATTAGCTAGTGTTGTGAAAAAACTGTACAAATACATAACAATCCATTCTCTTTTCTACTATGGGGATATTACTAAAAAAAATATGCACATGTTAACACGAGCTGAGGAGAAACAAAGGGATAACTATACTAAGGAAATATGACGCCAATCATCCTCACAACAAAAAAAACCAGATTTTTGCGACCGTCTGTAATGGTGGTTGAAAATATGAAAAATGGACGCAAATAATAATTTTAACCATCAACGGTCAAAACTGTGAAGTCGTGATTTGCTAGGACGCAACACAAAAAACAAAATTACGACTGAAAGGCGCTTCCCAAAAAAAAATGTGACCGTTTTGTGTATTTTCAAAGACCGATTTCGATGTCATCGCAATAATTCATTTACGACAGGTGAAGGCGGTCGTTGATAAAATATTTTGCGAATGGTAAAGATTTTCGTAAACTTTAAAAATTGCTATAGCTTTAGACAGTCGCAAAATACCAAAATTATGACTGTAATACATAGGTATGGAACGATCACAATTATCAAGAATTACGACTGTATTTATACCTATCGTAAAAACTTGTGAAATTACAACCAATCTGAGTATGCACTAAAAGGTCGCAATATAGCAAAAATTGCGTCCGTTTCAATGGTTGTCGCGATTTATTAGTATATGCATTTTTAGATTTAGGACCGTTGCTTTACTATTAGATGGCGACTTTCTAACTTGAATCTATAACCTGTACTCATAATAATTGAATTCAAAAATAATAAAAATTAATAATAAAAATTTAAAATAAAAGTCAAATTTCGAACAATACTTACAATAATAATGTTATAGTTACTAATAATAATAATAATACTAATGTTCTAGATAGCTACGAGTAGTAATTTTTAAGCTAATTAACAATACTACGACACCGGAGTCTGGTTAGCACCACCGCTCATGTCTTGGTCATCTTCCCTGCGAAGGTGATATGGAGGATAACCTAAACATATAGAGAACAAATCTGCAATGTTGTCTCAATCATACGCTTGCTCTCAATTGCCACCTCTTCCTACTCCTTCTTCAATGCTTTTTGCAATTGCGTAGAAAACTATGCCTACATTTGTACTTGTATCTCCTCTACCCGTACGACATGCTTGCACACGTTTCTCCAATTGTGA